CTCCGACAAGAGCTCATTTCATGTAATCGATACACAAATTGAATGCAAGCCTGGGGTACCAGCTGGGGTTGAGGCGTTTGTTCGGGCTGCCAAAAGAGGGTTTAGGCGTCCATCCCAATGTAGGGGTTAGCCACGTTTCCCATCAACGTCAAATAATGGGGCGTGGGCAATGTGGGAGTTTGTTAACGGAAGCGTTCATTGAAATTTGGCAAGCGTTTGTGCATTGATGGGACATATCCTGCAGGTTGGCCAGCGGAGAATTTAAATCCTTACAGAAATCGGACAGAAACTCAACTCCCATTCATCCTCTAATGTTCGCTTGCGCATAAGGACACAGAACGTAGGGATATCGAAGAGAACAAATCTACAGGATGCATCGTTTTCCATCATCTCTCTCTCTCTCTGGATCTTTAAATCTTTGCTGCTTCCAGTTAAGAGAGTTCAGAGTCCTCGGTAATCAAGAGGATATCAGCGCAAGGCAGTGAGCATCAATGTTCCTAGTCATGCACACGACATGTTCTTGGTTTTTGGAGATTAAATCTCGAGACAATGCCCCCCCCCTCCCATCGATGCTTTAAGGCGCTGAAGAAAAATCGTAGATTGGGGAGTTTTGGGATTGGAAGGGGAGCTTCGGCGTCGATGGCCAAGGGAGGTTAGTAGGCGCATAGAAAATAAAAGTAAGTACAGTCTATCCATGTATGTGTGTGTGTGTATCTGGTGCCTGTGTATGTCTGTGGTTACAACTTCAAAATGAGTTTATCGATTTTTAAAGGCAAAACCGAAAGAGCAACGCCAGGCAGGCACACAAGAGGCAAGAGCCACGCAGGCAAGGTATCACAAAAGGTAATAGGGAGGGGCCATTGGGGATGCAATGGGGATGGGTATGGGGATGGGGGATGTTCGCCTGGCCTGTCTTGAACTGGCAAAGGGACCTTGTTGATGATGTGTGGATAGATGGATGGATGGATGGGTGATGGGTGGCCACGAAAAAGTAAAAAAATAAATAAAATGTAGACACGAGAACAGCTTCCAGTTGCCTCATTTTGTTGAAATCCTCCCCAGCTCTTCTTTGGCGTAGCACTTTTCAATGAAAATCCTCAAATAAGAGCGGTAAAAATAAAGAACGTTTATCAAGCGATTATTATTTAAGGGTTAAAAGCCTGCCCTGCCCTGCCTCTAGCTCCAATCACAGGCGTAGCCTCGCCCCCTTTTCACCCACTTCATTTGGGATGTGTTACGCCTTTGTCTTGTTTATTATTTCTGTCCTGGCAACAACAGCAACAACAACAAATGCAAACAAACGAAACGTAAAGCAATTAAAATGTTTCAAGACAATTGACAAAAAGCCAAAGCCGAAGAACTTAAAGCTTTTATATGTAGGGAGGGAGGCGGAGCGAGCTGGCCCCAAAACGAAGCTTTGAAGGGCAGGCAAAGGCAGCAGAGAAAATGAGAACGGTGCGGGGCGTGCAAGGAAGAAGGACGGAAGGAAGGAAGGATAATGGGGAGGAAGAACCGTTCTACCTCTTGTCGAAAATTGCATCTTTAATATGCAATGAAATTTGGCAAACATAATAAATAAAATATGCAAAATTTCATGTTTGAGCAGCAACCCACACACAAAGCCTCCCAAAATCTCCCTACACTCCCATTTGTAACCCTTGCAGGACCTTCCGCTGCCCCCCTGCTACAAGGATATCACGCACCAAAGAGGAAGCCTTTTGAAGTGCCACAAGCAAAGGATGCGGGATGGGGGATGGGGGATGGGTGCTGGTGCGGGGGTTGGGAATGTTGCACCAGCAAACACCCTCTCAAATGGGTAGAAAATGTGCGGGAATGCTCGAAACTTTGCTCAGCAATTCAATTTGGCCCCACTGTGCACTGCCCCGCGCCACAGTGCAACTGATTGGGCAACAAAATGGGAAATGTAAAAGTTGCTCAACACTAAGAGATATCTTGTCAAGAAGAAGGAATATATCATGCCATATTACAACGCTTTCTGTATAGCTCTCATAGTTTTTCTATATTTGGGGATTTGGGGATACAGGCCCGCCCGCCTTTTTGGGTATTCCGTCTGCATTTTCAGGCTTGCCTTCGTTTTCTTCTGGTTTTTTCGGGTCTTCTTCCGTTTGGCCATTTGTCGAAATGGAATCGATTTTTGTCGAAGCAACGAGAACTCCTTCCCACCGCCCACCCATCACATCTTTTTCATGCGCCCCACCGTTGCACACACATCTTTCACTTGGGGCATCGATTGCGACTCGAAGATAAATGAGGCATTTTAACAGAAATTTGTAAAACTCTTAATACATAAATTATGGACAGGATTAATGGGAGTGGGAGTGGGAATGGGAATGGGAATAATGATGATTTCAACAGATCTTTAAACTTAGGATGGGAATAAATGACGGAAGCTCTAAGGCTTGTTTAAGCCAAAAGTGCAAAGCATCTTCTATTCCCCCCCATCTATGTATAATTTTACGTGTAATAACTGTTCAGACCCTAAGGCTGAGGCCCAGGTAAACAATTCAGCAACAACAGCAACAGCAACAACAACAATTGAACATCAGTGAAGCAACAAAAACCAGCCAACTAATCAAAGCTTGCAACGATACGCCAATAATATGTTGTCACTTGTCAATCAAGATGCAACAACAGAAGCAGAAAGAGAAGCAGAGGCAGAGGCAGGGAGCAGAAACAGTGGCAGTGGCAGTGGCAGGGAGCAGGGAGCAGGAGGTGAAGGCACTTGAAACAAACAACAATCTACTACTCGTGTACTCTGGCTCTCTGAGCTGCAGCCATAGAGTGGGATGGGGTGGGGGGGGTGGGGCAGTTGGCCGGGCTGCACATGCAACAACTTTTGTTTCGTTGGCTGGGCTTTGAATGACTGAATGACTGACTGACTGACGGCTGTCAGAAAATGCCACACGACCCCCAAGTGAAGTGAAAATTGGCAACAATGAATGAAAGGAGAGAAACACACACCCCCCAAATCCCCCCCACCCGCCACAACCCACCAAACACCCCGACGAAGCCAATAAAAATAAGAAAAAGTGCAACAAGATGAAGAAGAAATTTTGCAACACGCGACTTTCCCAAACACACAACAACAACAAAGCACACACACACACACACACACACATACACATACACAACGCATTATAAACAATATCTTTCCTCGCTGTTGTTGCTGCCGCTGCTGCTGCTGCTGCTGTTGCTTTCTTGTTTTGCATGTTGCACCGGCTACGATGGCCTGGCCTGGCCGCAATTTGCAACGATTTTCACTGCCGCAGTTGCAGCCACAGCCACAGCCGCAGGCGGCACAGTAAAAGTTTTACAAAAACACCAAACAAAAAAAGCTGGCAACAATAAATGAAAAGAAAAGTGAAAAGCAATGTTAGATTAGAGACATCCCATCCATTGCGTCCATCCAACCATTTCCATTGATGATTAATTCATTCGAGAGATGCCACAGCGGCAGCAAGAAGAGTTGCCACTCGCATTCGCGCTGCTGCCGGATCTGATGGGATGCAACAGACTTCAAACCAAAAGAAACCAATAGAAGTTTCATTTTAAAATTATAGGAATATTTAAACTTGGAGATATAAATGTACGCCCAAAGATTTGAGCATAAAATATGAAAATATTATATACAAAAAAATATATTTCATATTATAAAGAAAAATATTTTTCATATTTTGTCTCTGCCTCCTGTCACTCTTTCTCATTACATATCTCTGTCTCTTTTCCTTGTTGCCTCTTGGGTTGCAAAGACCTGACTAAGCAAACTTTTTGCATATGAAAAGAACTTGAATTAAGAGGGGAACGGAACACAAACAACAACAAAAAATCCCAAGCAAGCAATGAATAATTATGAGGTGAGGCGGAGGGGGGGGCGGTGTACTGACATTCGCAGGCGGATGCGGAAAAACTTTTCCACTCAAAACTGATCTCAGAATAACTCACGTTCTCTGTATGTGCGACAGATAAAAAATATATATACATACATATGTACATATATACTCGTGGCAGCTCGACTTGAACTGTTGTCTGAAGCTCTGGGAGTCTGGTAATTATAGAAACAACAGCAAGACCAACGATGATAAAGTCGCTTTTGACGGATTGACGACAGAACTAACAATTATGTATATAAACCTGCAGCAGCAACGAGTCTTGTTGCATCATGCACCACACACCACATGGAAACATGGAAACAAATCAAAATATACAATAGTTTTGTTTTTTGTTTTGGTTTTGCTGCTGCTCAAGGTACTATTCTCAAATGCAGTCCACTAAGTAGTAGTCACTATAAGACGGAGTACGAGTACGAGCAAAAGCAAAAGCAAAGGCAGAAACAAAACAAAACAAAAGAGACCAACTGCAGATACAGTATCTTGTGGCTACAGCAAATACTGTGAGTATATTGTGGCTGATGGCTACAAGTTGGCGGCTCAGGCTCAGGCAGTTCGAATGCGAACTCTGGGCTGAAACTGAACCAAAAAAAAATAAAAAATGAAAGAGAAAAAAAAGACACACAAAAATCGCTGACCTCATTATTATTTCTTGTGCATGTGTATGTGTATCCCTCTCCCCCTTGTGTACACTGTCCACACTCCACCATGCGCCATCGTGTATCTGCATCTGCATCTCTGCATCTGCTGTAAGCGATTTGCATTTGACGAGAAAATGCACAGACTCTTTTCCCAACACAAATTCATTTCACAATTCCATTTCAAAGCGAAGTCGCTACTGGTGCTGGCACTTAAAGCACCTTTCGATGCAACATCACATGGGATCAGGATCATAAGATGGCAACCGACCATCAATCAGTCACGTTCGATACTTAACCCAAATAATAAATATGCAGAGTAGTTTCTTTTTGTTGGGATTGAAACCATACATAGATCGATTAACGGATGCAAACACTTTCAAAACTTTATCCCAAAGAGTATATATGTCTTACATATGTAATTGAAGGACTGCAGATAATTGGGGACACTCACCACATGAACACTGCTCTGCAGTTGTCCGGCTAACATCGTCTGTGCCGCCTGTTGATGCTGCTGCTGCTGCTGCTGTTGTTGATGTTGCTGCTGATGTTGTTGCTGTTGTTGCTGCTGCTGCTGCTGATGCTGCTGGGGATCGGGCAGCTTCTTGTCGGTCTTCTTGGCCGCCCGCTTATTCTTGCTCTCGAGGAAGCGCTTCTGCAGGGCGGTGGTCTCCTGGTTCTGCTGCTCGCAGACGGTGCTGAAGGCCTGCTCGAATCGCGGCACGCAGTCCGTCTGCCTTCGTCGATAGTTCTCCATGCGGCGTCGCAATCGGTCCACAATGGGCTGTCGCTTGGGAGGCAGGGCATCGCTTGGCGATGGGCCGCCGCCCCCACTGTTGGGTCCGAGGCTGACTCCTGGATTTGGAGGGCCGCCAGTTCCGTTGCCGCCAGCAACAAGGCCGCCGACAATGCCTCCTGTTGCTCCCAGGTTGGCATTGTAGGGAGAGTGCTGCTGCTGTTGCTGCTGTTGTTGTTGCACTTGTATCTGCTGCTGCTGCTGCTGCGCCTGTGCATTGTGTTGCAGTTGCAGTTGCTGTTGCTGTTGCAGGTGTAGGCCCAAGTGCTGCTGATGCAATTGGAGATTCAAATGCTGATGCTGCTGTTGTTGTTGCTGTTGCTGTTGTTGCTGGGCGACGGCTGCGGCTGCTTGGCTGGCTTGGAAGACTGGCAGGCCGCCCGCATCCATAAATGCGTCCGTGGTGAGGCTTTCGCTGTGCTCTCGTTGCTTCGCTGTTCTCGTCTCAGTCGGCGTCGAACGCTGACAGCGACGAAATCACGAAGAACAAGACGCAGGGCCAAATCTATATATATATATGTATATATATATATGTATATATATATGTTTTTTTAAGCTATGTCTATATATCTGATGTATGACTACTAATGGCAGTGGCTGGTGCTTTTATTGCGTTTCCCCTCTCTGTGGCATTCCGTGGGGGTTCTACGTCGATCGGTGCAAAGGAAGCTGGAGAAAGTGGAACCAGCCAAACGGTGGCAAGGTCATCATCATCTTGGTGGCAAGTTCTGCAAAACGGAACAGAGAAAGTGATTAGTTTTCGAGTTGTTTCATTTATTGTGTGGATTATGTGCCAACGGGACGTGAAATTTGCTGATAAGCAGCGACGACCCCACAATCAAAGAGAGCAGGAAAGGAGAGAGAGAGACAGATCATAGCAGAAAAATAAAACCCCAACGAATTATGAAAACAGAATAGATCAGAGAACTGATAAGACTGCATCCGAAAATACTCCGAATATACGAACGGACACGACGGGCAAAAATAAACAAAAGCAGCGACAAAAACTGATTAAAAACATTAATCGCTAGCGAAACGCGAGCGGCTGTCGCGCGTTTTCTTTCACACAAACACACCACACACACACACATACAGAAAATCGCGTGTCCAAAGGCGGCGGCTTTGGCAGCGGCAAGAAATTGACAAACTGAGCGACTGCCCTGCGCTGCGTCTGGCGCTTGAATGAAATGATGGACGCCGGAGCTTTGAGTGGTGGGGGAGTCAACGGTCGTTGGGGCCCCGAGTCCAACACGAACGAACAAAAACACGACAACGACGACGAATGAATGCGAAGACGACGGACGGCGAACAACTGTAGATGTTGCAGAGGCGCAAATGGGAAAAGAAACGGCACAAAAACAAAACCTTTTGCAACCTTATGCCTATTGCAATATGGCACGTGGACCGCACCGCAGGGAGAGGTGGGAAACTGAATGGAAGGACTGCGACTTGTCCGCGGCGGGGCAAGCAAATTAAGCTGTAAACAACAGGCTATGGCTAACCTAACCCCCAAGCAGCACCGCCACGGAAAGACAGGCATTCAGATACAGTACGAAGAAAAACTGGTTTCAGTTCAACAAAAATCGAGCATTCGAAAACATCGCGACTTTACTCGCGTTCGATTCCCCATACAAACGAACGGCGGTTTGGTCGAACGTTTGAACAGGCGCCCAGCAGACGCAGCAGGCGTGGGCGAGAGAGAGAAAGATAGTGAGCGAGCGGCGAGTGTGAATGAACGAGACGACAGAAGAGCAAAACTGAGAGCGAGAGCATTGTTTACATTTGTCTTTTGCTGTTGCTGTTGCTGTTGCTCTCCCTCCACACAGGTGGGAGTGAGTGAGAATGGTGTGCGTGTGTGTTGGTATATTGTGAGAGCGGTGAGCGGAGAGCAGAGAGCAACGAATAAAAAAGGTCAAACTCTTGCCTGGATTTGTTTGCTGTTCTCGGCTAATACTGTTATTGCTATTGTTGCTTCTTCTGCTTCTGCTTCTAGCGCTTGCGTTTAATTAGAAAAGAGAGCCAAAGTGAGTGGAGTTTAACCCATTGAGGTAGGCGTTGATAAGCATTTAACAGCAATAAAATGACATTTGTGACGTCAGCTTCTGATAGCAAAAAGTCATTGATAGCATTTTATAGGGAGAGATACAGCGATAGAGAGCGAGAGAGAGAGAGAGAGAAAATACCGAATATATTTCAGTCTTGGAATTTTTAATTAAATTCTCTGTATCATTACTGTTGGACATGGCTCTCGAGCAGAGCCAAAGAAATCGATGGAAGTCATAAAAGTTCACCCAATATACATATATCCGACTCAATGGGAAAAGCAACAAAAAGGTCAAAGTAAAGAGATTTTTACGGCAACTGTAAAAGTGAGCATACGAAAATTGACTTAAGCTGAGCAGTGAGCTTCGAAAGGGGTACGGTACCAGCAGAGGTGTAGGCTGAAGCAGCGGCGTCACGTACACACACAGAAATTTAGCAATCAGTAGCAACATTGTAAACGTCATTATCACTAGCCTTTACATACATCTTCATCATCGCCGAGAGAGCAAAGGGAAGAGAGATAGACCGGAACAGCAGCAAACATGCGAGAGCGGAAAGAGCGGGCGGTCAAAAAGTGTCTTTATGCGTCCATCTGGTACAGTGGAACAAATCAGCTCACATGTATTCTCTCATCCTGGAAAATGTATTCTTTGATCATTCAAATACAATTTCCCAATACAATACAATTTCCACTGCACAAAAAACGTATTAATGATATTTTTCTGCTCCCCCCCAAGCAGCAACTCAACTGACAGCGGACAAAAAAAAAAAGAGCCACAGCAGAGAGAGAGACAGAGAGCACGCAATGTTAGCTGTTCTGTTAACATTTCAAAGTACTGCTGGGCTGCACAGAAACATTGCAAAATCGGCGCGAATTAAAAAATCGCCGCCGACGACAAAACCGCGGCATATCGTTGGAGCCATCGCGCGATTCTAACCGCCGTCGACCCCCACTCAGAAGACATACAAAATTTTCAAAGGAAACACCAAACGCGCCAAAGCATCAAATGCTCGACGGCGACTTTTCAGGCAAAACGGCGGCGACTTACGTCGCGCGTCTATCGCAAAAACGAACAGGCGATCAGCAGGCGTTAGTAGCGCGACTGCAGCGCGTTTGTACTCGGCAGCGAGCTCTGTTACTGTTAAACGGGATTGAGAGAGAAAGAGAGAGAGATTGGAACAACACACTCGCACACACACACACAGAAAGAGAGAGGGAGAGTTTGAGCGAGTGTCTATCTGTCTGACAGAGCGTGTCGTGTGTGTGTGTGTGTGTGTGTATGTGCGTTTGTCTGCTAATGCTGTGAACCAACAACAAAGAAGCAGAAAAGCGTCGACAAGAATTGATTTTGTTTTTATGGCATTTGCATCTGATTAAAATTTTATAATTCTCATACATACATACAAATATATACGCACACATAGTATATAGTGCTTTATAACCATCTGGTTCTGATGTGATGTACTATTTATCTAATAAATTAACAAAAATCAGCGAGAGCGAGAGAGTGCGGCATAAAACGCGCGCGTTTGCAACAGCGTCTCAAGGCTGTGCCAGTTCAGCGGTTTTAAGCGCGCGGTCGTAAAGACGTTGCCAGCCAAGTGCCGCTGCCGCTGCCCCTGCCTGCCTATCTCCTGCCCCACCAACAAACAGCAATCGATGCGCTGCAACGGCTGTGGGCCCATTAGAAAACGACGCCAAACAAAATGGTGCCGTGGCGCGAGCGACACACGACAAACGGTAAACGACAAACGACAAACAAAAAGTCAATTTTATCGGAAACTAACAGGCAACAAGCAAACACAGCGAGAGTCCCGCCAATGAGACAGAAAGAGAGAGAGAGAGAGAAAGGTGCAGATAAACAATAATGTTGCCTGTCTTTTCCCCCATTTGTGTGTGTGTGTGTGTGTGTGTGTGGGGGGGGGTGCCGGCCTGGAAAAGCTCTGTTTTCCATCCCCCTTTTTGGCACGCTGAGCGCCTAGTCCAAATTGCGAGAAAGATCCGCTTTTCGAGCCAAAAACCCACCAGAAGCCCAAGGAGTTGCAGCACTCCGGACTACGCATAAAATCCCCACAAAGCAGAACTCGTCCACCGAACGCCACGCGCCACAGAAGGATCCCGCAATGGACCGCAGCATCCATCCGGCGGCGCCAAAGGCAGGAGCCCGACTAAAGTCCGCTGAGAGCGAACAACCGCAAAATCCTCCTTCGTCGTGAGTGGGGGTCCCAAGGAAAGAGAGTGGGTGGTTTGTTGGTTGGTTGGTTGGAGGGTATCTCCTGGTGCAAAGTGTATTTATACGAGGTGAAGCTTTCCTTTAAGAGATAGAAGGAAACTTGAGGCCCAGGAACGGTCCTCAGCCTCACACCCTGTCGTTGATTTCTTTTTTGGCCATGGCAATTATCTTGATTGTTGCCGCACATGCGCTTTGGGGGGAAAACTTTGAGTGAAATTGTACTCGTATATTGGCAATGTCCTTCCTTTCCCTTCCCACCCCTTTATGTTTATGAATGCAATGGAATAATTAAAGTGTTTCAACCCACAAGAAGTTATTTCTGTAGCAATCTATTTGTAATTCAAATGTTTAATTTTCAAAAATATTTATGTACATTTTAATCATTGGACATTAATGTATGTTTGGGTGCACTGGGTTCGGGACAGACTATATCGGATGCCGGGTAGTAGGATGTCGTGGCAGGCGTGCCGCTACTACCAAAGTGAGGAATGATTTTTGGTTCAACTCCCCCCAATGCAAAGTGACAACTCGTTGAGATTAATGATTTAATATAATAAGTAAATTTAATTAGATTTTTTTCAACTGTTTATCAGACAAAGAACAACAAAAACAAAGCATTTAAAGGTTTTTAATTGCTCTTTGAGCATTTGATGCTCGTTCCCGAACTGCAGCCCATCCGTACTGTAACTCTATGCCATTCGATGTCTTCCACAATTTGGCTGCAGGACTCCTTCCTGGACGTTGCTTGCAGAGATTTCAGCTTGGTTCACACGCAGCGCATCAACCACAAGACGAACCCAGTGAACACATATAAATACGACTCGAAAGGAAAGCCCACAAGTTAATCCAGGCGGACCTGGACACAGACCCGGACCCCACACTGTTGTTGTTGTTGTTGTTGTTGTTGCACAGCTGCCTGCAACATTGAGCAGCAACTACTTACAACAGGTCCCGAAACAGATGTCGTCTGTATTTGGCACTGGTTGGGCTGGAGGGGAGACCGGAGTGGAGTGAAGCTCAGGGTGGGATCGGATCTTGCACATGTGGCAACAGCTGCAACATGCAACAATATCGTGCAACCTGGGGGCCCCTCAATGCTGCTGCAACATGGCAGAGGGCGCCACTGTTGTTGTTTCGTGCCACCAGCGATGCGGCGCACAGCAAACGGCAGCGTGGTCTCCAAGTGGCAAGTGCCCCCATCCGGGGGATGCTCATGTATAAGTGTGTCCCACGTGTGTGTGTGTGTGTGTGTGTGTGCAGACGAATAAGGAAAATTTGCAAAAGCAACAAAAAACAACTAAACAAGAAACACAAACAGGGAAACAGGGAAAAGCTGCCCGGGGGCCTGGGGGCCGAAGTCTCGAATACCCTTTATGCAGATCTTTCCTTATGGCATAGAAAGTTCTTCCTTACATCGTCATCTTCATATTACAGGAATGATGTGGCGGCAG